GAGCATAATAAAAGCAGGTTTTATTAACCTAACATGCATGTCTTTAGACTGTGGGAGGAAGCTTGAGTCAACAAATTCAACAATGCAGAAATGAATACTTTTCTTCCAAAACTGCTCTTCAAATAATTAATAAATTAATTGGTTGACAACAAATTTCAATAACTCATTCATTATATTCAATTATTCCAAGTTGTCAAAAATGAATATTTTCTGGGGTTTTTTTTTATAATTTAAGCAAAATTCTATTTGGATTTAGACAATTATTTTTTAACTGAAAAACAATGTGCCGCCTACTTGAAGTAAATACAACAAGAAAACTCACCTTGAACCGACAAATCAAAAGTTGCCAACTCGTTCTTGATCATCTCCTCGCTGGACTTGACCTTGGCCTGAGCGCTGGCTTTGAGGAAGTCAGACCTGCCAAACTTTGGCTTGTCTCCCTGGAAGGCACCAAAGTCATCGGAGGCCTCACTCTGGTTTCCCTCTGAGCCCGCCTCGGCAGTGGCAGCAGGCGAGTCTGACTTCTCCGAAACAGTACTTGCAAAGTCTCCAAAGTCATCCTCGTTATGGACACCGCCCTGGTCGCCGGAGCCAAAGTCAGCAAAGGCTTCAAACTTGTCATCTGCTGATGATGAACTGTCCTCTGCGGGGAAGGAGGTGATGATGTTTGCTATGGAGTTGCTTGTGATGTTTTCAGTGCTGCCAAAGGTCAGTTCCTTCCTCTGTGTGGGGACTAAAGATGGAAGGCCAGCTCCTTCCAAGCCCGGTGGCTTTCTGACCTCACCGGGCAGACTCTCGTCCCGGTCTGACCAGTCATAGCTGGCCATGGTGCTGAGGGCTGACGTTCCAAAGGGGTCAAATTTCATGTCGTCTCCTTCTGCAATGACAACACAGACATACCGGTGGTTCCTCGGAATAGCACAGATGCTGTCATGATAGGAGGAAGACTAATAGGCCTCAACAGGGGTCTGAGATTTCTGTCGGGTTATTACTCTCATTTATCTATGCTTTAAGTGATTTCGCTTCTTCTAAATGTAGTTTGGTCTTGAGAAAAGAGCACTTGAGAATATTAACACAAACATATTTTCTCACCTCCATTTAGTTCTCTGTAGCATACGGGAACCTTTTTATTTTTTTAAACGTAATCTTTTTAATATTTGTTTTCATGGTGCTCACAAGATTTTAAAAAAGTACAGACAGATATTTCTTTAGGAACAATGGCTTAATCTGCATTACTACTTTAAATCAAAAGAAATGATCCCTTAGAAAACACTCCCCTATTCCCATTTTATTTTTACAGGAGCATGTAGAGTACCATTTTGGGGAAGGGCATTTTTTGTCATGTTTTAATCTTGTGAGCACCTTAAATGAAATGAAAATCCATTTACAAAATTTACGATGAAAGCCACAATCCTGGAAATATCTCTCAATCTGTGCAGGTAAAACCAACGCTATCACTCAGGGCTCAACCAACTGGTCACCCAGTGAGAGGCAGGCAATCTGACTGCAACCCCTCTCAGACAGACTGATGAAAATTTGCAGATCACTGCTCCGAAACCTAATTTATAAGCGCAGAGCAATCAGAGTAGGTGTGCACCAATGAGCACGACTCATGTGTTTTTGCACTTAACTGGTTGCATTCTGATTATAAAAGCAAAGTTACTGACTGCTTGACATTTTACACTTAAATCACATTGGTAGAGGAATTTCTGCTTCGAATCTGTGAGGCTCTGGTTCGACTCCAAAGTTAATGTGAAACTCTGTTTATGTAGAAGAAGAACAACAGAACAATGACAAACAGATGTCATGGCAAACTGATGGCAGATCTTATCGCGATCTTGATGCGCCAAAGTTGTTTTGAAGATGTCGACTGACTGTGACTGGCGGTAGACCCGATCCCTCTTTTAATCGGATGACTTTTTCCACCCTGCGCTCTGTGTGCATGTCTGTGGGAGTGCGTTTAACCAGACTGTGTTTGTCTGAAGCCGTGACACCGATGTCGATCAGATGTTGTTTTATATGTAAACAATACTAATCAATGCAGAAATCCTGGTAATCCAAAGGGCCCACAAACTGGTTTTATAATGCAGATTTGTGAAACTGACAACAAGGCCTTGTATCAACCCTCTATGATGCAAGGCGTTAATACATTAATACAAAGCGTAATACATCTTCCCTAATAAATTATTCCTTGGTGTTTTTATGCCTGAGGTGAGTCATGTTTACGCAACTTTTTTTCTGGCCATATGACAACACTCGCTGCTTTCACTGGTGACAAACAGCTTGGCTAACAATAATCAGAGTTGATCTCTTTATATTAAATGCAACCTGAAGGCTTTTGTCTCAAGGCAGACGCACTAACAACATCAATAAAAGATCTTTCCTGTCACTGCGTCTGCCCTGTTTCTCACAAGTGTTTTGATCACTTTCTTTATGACTGATACTGACTGACAGCTGTGCAGCTTGCACACATTTGTCAACGCTTTAGCATTCAGGTCTCCTTCAGACACTCGCAAACACATAAATCCACCTTGTTGAAGCCTTCCTATTTTGCATGACAGAACCCTCAGACACAAAAAGCAATTTGTGAAATTGACAAGGATTGAGTGGTGTGAGCCTCGTGTCATTACAACCACATTACGCCTCACAGGAAAGGAAAGGAGAAATAAGACGGTACGCGTTTCAGCAATACCAACAGTAATATTTATTACGACAACATGAGTAGGGAGAGAGAGAGAGAGAGGTCACAAAGAACTGTGAAAGAGGTCTACCATTACAAGAGGTTTAGTCAAACTAACACTTTGAAAATTAAATTTCAGTCATCTGGAATACAAGTGCATGCAGAGTCAGGAGAAAAGGAAGAAAACAAACAGCGAGAAAGTAAAACAAAGATAATCCGAGGATATAGAAGCAGAATGAGAAGGCACATTCACAGACTAGAATCAGTAATTCTGGGAAGATGACAAACTTTCTTTTACTATAAGGATGTAAATCAACAGGTGTATTTTTTTTGTTTCGTTTTTTTGGAGAAAAAAAAAAAGATTTGAATACAGAACACTTGAAAAGGCCAGGTTGAAAGATTATTCAAAGAACAAGGCAGGAAGCATTAACCCTTTGAGGACCTGAGGGGACAAACTGACAGGGAGGAAGCTAAACTTTCGAAGCAGCAAGGAGGCTGCCATCTGTACATATTTAGTCTTTAATAAATAAGGGTAAGAGATCAGGATATCTGCATTAATCTGCATGTAAACATGTGAAGCGATATCATTCAAGCCCTCAAAGGGTTACAGAAAACAAAGAGGGCCATCCTTACACCTGGCATCCCAGTAAGGGCTTCCATTACATCCAATCACAGATGCAGGAACAGATTTAAAGAGACAGTATCCTTTTTTCCCCTCTTGCTACAGTGATTGTTTGTCAAAGCAGGATGATGAGCACTAATTCCCCTTGATTAATAACACATCATTATTTACTAAAAACTTTGATGTTTGAATCCACGTTGAACTAAAAATACTCTGATTCTACTAAATACTGTCGGCTACATTTAATTTACATAGTTGGCAAATCACAACAAGATCGAGAAGTCTTCCTATAGTCTCAAAATAAGAGGTCATATTCCTGTAATAAAAATACACTATTAAATCTGCATGTACACATTTCTCCCTTGATAAAAACAACTTGCAATACTGTTATGCATAAAATGGTTATTTTGTATTACGTTCTTGTCAATTTCACAAATTGAAAAGGCAGGCACACTGCAGCAAAAAGCAAGGCAGGAAGGGTAATACTAACTTCATTATGCTCTCAAAGAGCCAGACCGTAGAGCCACACGTGATAAAAATTCATGCTGCGATATCACAGATAACGGATTTTTTGAAAAGAAAAAAAAAAATTACGAGAAAGAAAATTTGATTCCTCTTGTGACTCAAAAGGAACCTCAGAAAAGAAATACTGTCTCTTTAAGCTTACATACATTTCCAAAAACACAGTGCAAAGCGTGGTGAGGTGCTCAAACTGCTCGGACTGCTACACGTTAACGACAGGTTAGTCCCAGAGCTCTCCGAGAACAGCTGATAAATAAGGGTGAAATGAAACCGCCGTCACGGTAGCGTAAAAGCTTCTCAGGAATGTATCGATGTTAAAGCGGGCAGGTCTTTACCCGATCAGCGGTTTCGCTGCAGCTCCATGGACTGGATTGTTTGCTCTCCGTGCGGAGGGGCCTGTTTGGGTTTAACCAAAATCTGACCACTGCACAGAAACTGAAATAAGGCAATGGGGATGTTTACATCTTTTTCTAGTCAAGGATAAAGTATCAGTTTCTTGGATGAAATAACTTGACACATGTGATGATAATTAACTGATAAGTGACGAAATATTGGAAAATGATTGCACGACTGTTGTCAGGTGGAGATTTGGTCAACTTGTACAAACTTCTCAAGCTTTGTCTGAGCTTTCAAATAAAAATGAAAGCTCCCTTAAAGCTGGCAAACGTTTGAATTACAGAGCCTTCACCTGAGAACACATGCAACCCATCTCATGTTACACTGCAAGAATGGTTTGAAATGTTTTGCATGAAACACGATGCATGATGTGGAAGACGAGATGCCTGATGAATAAATGATGAGCAGTGAAGAGAGGGGGAAAAAAAGGACACGGACACTACCCGATTATTAACAGACACTAGATTGATTTCCCTTTTTATAAAAGGACGAGCTTTAGGTAAACTTTAACTCCACTTTCATGGATGTGAGGTAGGGGAGGAAAAAGCAGACACGCTATTATTTAGACATCTTACAATTAGACGTCCATTTGATCCAAAACATACTCCGTGGTTAATGTGAAAATACTGCAGGGTAATACAATAACTGACAGGCATAAAGAGACAAATGCATGCACTCACATTCAAGCCCTCACATCCACCTATAATATTTTTAATAGTGACAAATAGTGTTGCTCTATATGAAAATAGTCTCCAGTTTTTGCATGCAAAACGTCGTATTAATGGTAACATTTTATTTCAAGCAAATCAAAATTAAGTCATCTGCTGTGCTTTTTGCACACATCAGTTAAAAAGGTAAATGATGGCTTACGGATAACGCCTTTGGTAAGCTGCAGCCTATTGTTCGAAAACCTGTGATTTGAATAAACAAGAGGATAAACGCCCTCCTGTACTCATCTGTATTCAACTGCTCCGTCTCTTAGCATCGCCCAAAACAACACACACACACACACACACACACACACACACACACACACACACACACACACTAGGTACACTGAAAGGAAGTGCGACATCCGCCTGCCGCGGTGTGGACACATCAAACAGGAGGCTTATCCGAGTCGCGCAGGCAGCAGCTGGGGGACCTCGTCTGTGAACTATGACTGCCAGCATATCAAAACCAGGCACTCATCATTTGTAAATAAATAGAGATATGGGCCAGGACCTTCCTGTCATTACAATAACAATATACGGAAAGAGGAATGTGGAGATAAAAAAAACTAATGAGGAAGAAACTAAAGATTTAAATAAATAAATACTTAAATAAATAAGTAATAAATAAAGAGTATGATGAGATGAACGATGAAATGTAGAATGAAAGCTGTGATGCATCTAATTTGATATGTTACTCATGTTTGTGTTCAGCAATTGAGCATGTTCAATTCAACAAGGACCTCATTATTTGCCCTTTGACCCCTTGTCTGGGGGAGGGGTCACTGAGAAGGAGAGGTTGGCTGGCCTTGAAAGCGATATTGTGTGTCACTGCACGGAGCCTCACCAGAGCAAACGCACAAGTTCCTCACCTGTAGCAGGGGGCTGGTGGGAAGAGAGACCCGGCAAATCCAGAGAGCTGTCTGACATCACGTGCTTCAGGTCTCCTCCCATGTCCGACAGCTTCATGTCCAGCTGCACTGACAGCGCGTCCTCAGAGTCGTCCTTTCCCACGCTGCTCCCGCCGATGGACGGGAGGTCGAGGGACTTTACAGATGCAGAGTCTTCCTTGGCCTGTTTGAACGCGGCCACCTTATCACCCAGAGTCTTTTCAGAAGCACCGAGTGCTGTGCAGAACTTTGAGGACTGAAATTCGGCAAAGTCGTCGTTGTCGCTCTTGAGTGACGAGAAGGAGCCGGCGCCGCTCTCCTTGGTGTCATCGTAGGCGAGGCCTCCTTCCAGAGAAAGTTGTTTGAATATGTCGTATTTGTCAGAGCTCTGCTGAGACCGCTGCTGTGTGGAGGTTTCCCCTTGAACACCCGCGCTGCTCTCGCCTTTAGGCTCTCCACCAGAGCTGCCAAATGCCATGAAGTCTGCAAAGTCATCCTGAGGTGCTGAGGCAGCTCCTCCTGCGGCTGAAGCTTGAGTGGAGTCAGAAGAGGAGCCAAATAGGGCAAAATCCCCAAACTCATCTGCCCCTCCTCCCGGAGGTTTTGCTCCACCTGGCAGGAGGACGAGAGAGGGGGGCACAGACACAGAGGGGAATGTGCTGGGTTTTGTCTCAGTGGGGGCAGGAACAGAGGGCGCTATAGAAGAGAAAAGGTCCAGGTCAGCCATGTTGAGAGGATTTTTGGGCTGAGACAGAGACACTGCTGGTTGTTGCTGGGGAAGCTGCTGTAGTGACTGAGAGTTTGGAAAAGCAGAGGGGAAGGAAGGTTGAAAGAGCTTGGCTTGATCTGGAGGGTCTAGTGGAGAGACGCTGTCGGCTGTTTTAAAGTCTGTGAAGCCATCATCGACTGTGCCGACAGACTTGAAATCTGCAAATCCTTCTCCTGTAAACCAAAGAGAAGAATTTAAGATTAGTAAAAAACAACAGAGAGATACAAAGGGGCCAAAAGTTCTCAGCTGCAACAGCTACCATTCAGTTATTTTACAATCCTAAAAGAGAAAGGAATGGTGCGTTAGTTACTCCTTTGCTCCACTGGTGAACTTTGGGCTGCAGTGTGCAAAGAAGATCATACATCACTGCACAAAAAGCTCTCCATACACTATCACTCAAAAGTTTAGGGCTGGGTTTTTTTTTTTTTAAAGAAATGCACACTTCATTTCATTAAATATATAATTAAACTGTTGTCTGTTAATGATGAAAAAAGTAATACTTCCTACATCATATAACTTTTAATGGAATTTCTACAAAATGAATCCTCAATCAACTTTACTTTACTAAAAACAAATGTGCTTTTCTTTCAAATGACCCCAAACTAATGAGAAACGGTGCATGTACATCGACACTACCATGCAAGGAACTGTTGATTATAGTCATTCTGCAAAAATTACCATCCAACACGTCATTTTTGTCTACAATATCCAATATCTTCCAGTGAAGTAGACGAGGCCAAATGGTTTCCAGTGTAATTTCTGTATTTTAGGTTTATATTTTATAGCATCAAATACCTTTAGGCAATGATAGTTTACACCTGAGTTTAGTGGCTGTGTTTATCACAGACTTTTATGCAAATGTCTGAAGTTTTCTGATGAGAGAGTCTGAACCTGACAGAAAATGCTATTTATGACAAAACAGCTTGGAAAAAGACAGATATGACTTGTTATCAGGAAACAATATTACATCTACAGAATCCTGATGAAGTTGTTAGCTAAAAGTAAAAAAGCTAGAACAAACTATTATCATTTTCTGCAGATAACCGTGATGGGTATTTATAGCAGTGGGAAAACTTTTGCATCTTTTTTACAAACTCCACACAGAAAAAAGTCAGAATGAATTCTCAAGTTTTCAGCAGTTGTTAATCCTGTGGAGTAACGTATGCATGCTGAAATAGAGAATCTGTTCACACCGCTGGTGTACGGTGGAAGAGCGATAACTAATAGGCTCATTAAGGAGATGGAGCCTGACAATGCCAAAGAAAGGTCACTGCAAAGCATGACTTACTGGAGTTGTAAGAGGTGTCCCCATCGGAAACTGTTCTAATGAAACAGGGATGGGAAACACAGTGGGTATCAACGCTGCATGCTTGCAATACAAGACACAGTGTAAACATGGCTCTGTGGTAGTGTGATGACCTGACAGCTTTGTCCAAGTTATAATACACAGTTTAATTAAAGAACATAAAAAGAAACTATTTGTTTCCTGGGGATGATGTGATGTTCATAAAGTTCATCTCTTAGTTCTCTACGTCACTGCCTAAAGAGGTCAAAAAGCAAGGATGTGCTAATATGTACATTAGGTGAACGTGTGTTGATTTTTTTCACAGAGAGATCGAGATGTGTGGGTCTCTTACCGACTGATTTCTTCTCCGAAGGTTGTTCGAGTTGTCTGAATACACTGTATTTGTCTCCAATATCTGGATCAGAGCAAATAAAGAAGAATTGGTAACTATAAAGAGCAATATGAAAGAAATTTACTCTCCCTGTATCGTTCAAGGGCCAAAACGTAGTTTGTGAACTGAATGTGTCCTTATGTAAGCTGCTTTAACCTTCAGGGATCAATTTCGTATTTTAGATGTAATAAAAGGGCTCGACATGATGAAATACCTGGAAATTTCATGTTATCCCTTTCTGCTTTTAATGAATCCTTGCCAGTTATCTACACAGGAAGGAACGGAACGTGCCGTCCCAAATGCTGCTGTGATGATAATATTGTTTCCTTCTCTGACTGACTTTATGTTTTGGTCCCAGTGTGTACCCCCAAGAGGACTAACAATATTACATGAGGTATCCAACGTACCTGAGGCAGGGGGTGTAGGCTCTGCAGGCTGATCCACAGACAGCTGCTTGAACACGGCGTACTTATCAGAAGATGTGACGGAGGCGGAGGAGGAACCAGAAACTGGAGTCAGCAAGGCAGGCGTGCTGCAGGGACACAAAAGCGAATCGTCAGACATCACGATGGGCGAAGTTCAAAGGTAAAGTTTAATCCCTATAAGCTGCCTGAGCTGAACGTTTGCCCTGGATTCACAAAGTTTGGAGAGAAACAGCTTTTTTTTTTTTTCCTTTTGTTACAAGCTCTTGGTGTCCTTTCATCCATTAAGGCCACTGGGCAGGCAGAAGGTAGGTCTGCTTAGGAATAAAAATATATGCCCACTGTCTCACATCCAGCTCACCAACAAAAGTATTTATATCTTGTTTTACTAATTTGGACAAAATGTACTGGACTGCGTGTTAGCAGCCCATGTTTGGAATGCCACAAAGAACAAGCAGCTGATCCAAGCAGAGTGTAAATAAGTAATCCGTGGCCTGTTGTAACACTAGAGCAACATTACTTTTAAATAGCTATGTTATATTAAAAAATATAGTGATATACCAGTTTTTAAAAATTGCCAAATATCGGTATTGGTCTTAAAAATCCTATATTGATTTAGGTCTAAAAAAGATTTTGATAATACTTCTTTTACTGTCTCCTAATATTCAGGCCATTCAGTAGCGAGCTAGTTTTGTTTAGCGTGAAAAGGAAACACCTTCCAGTCCCTTTGATACTCGTTAATTACCACTTTATATTTAATTTCATTTAGAGCATAGGTGTCAAACTCTGGCCCGCGGGAAGCCATACCAAATTACTATTAGAGCTGGCCTACTGGTATTATACAGCTAATATATATATTGTTTAGTATTAAGCTTTGCTTGTTCCATATTCAGCTTTTCAGCAAAACTTGTTTAAGTCCATAAGAAAAGATTCATTCTTATATCTGGAGGAAGATTTTTTTTTTCAATAAATATTAATGTTAGCCTGCGACTTTGTTCCAGTTTTAAATTTTGGCCCACTGTACATTTGAGTTTGACACCCCTGATTTAGAGGGTTTGTGCTGTCTTGCACCCACTGAAGACTCCAGGACGTTAACAGTCCAACCTGAGATGCATGATCAACCACTGAAACCCAAAACATATTTTTACACCTCAGTTTTTTTGCACAGACTGGTTTATTTGCGAGCTTAAGAGCTGCTGCTGACAGACTTCAGTCAACTGATGAAAGAGCCAGTCCAAGAAAGTGGCTTCAGTCTTCTCAACACAACAGAAAACAAACCAGCATAATCCCAAAATGCCAAACTATTCCTGAAAGTGAAGGATGCTTTAATACAGGCCAAAAGCAAGAAATATGATGACCATTATGCCTGATCATCTGCTAAAACAGACAAATCAGGGGCTTAGGGAAATTGTTAAACTCAGTGAATATTAGTTTCCTCAAAGCGCTTTTTCTGTAAGACATCCGACAGTAAGTTATGGCTGCCAGTTCAGGCTGGCAGCCCAATATGAGCTGTTCAGCCTCTCATTTAATTAGAAAGCAATCTCAGTCTGCGGGGAATTCTTGTTACATTGATGAAACAGTCAGGACTGCATTTTTTCAGCTGCGAAATAGGAGCGAATCATAAAACGCCAATGCCACTTAGATTTCAGATACTTTAATTCTGCTTTCTCGTTGTCTTTCAGTGGATAATTGCCTTTCAGCTTCCTCTCACTGAAGGCACGGTTGCTCCAGAAGGGCTCGGAAAGAAGTAATATAAAGAAACGAGCTTATCTACTGTCCACTGAAATGAATTCATTAGTAGATGACCCAAACTCATTCCTATTCTGAGGAGGTTATTACAAGATATTGAGACAGTGCGTCTGACTGTAAGACAGACAATGAGAAGTACAAATATTATGCAGGATGAGTCAGCTATAAATAATCATCTAGGGCTGAATATTTGATGCTCATCTCTGCAAATATTTACAGCACAGAAAGCAAAATGAGAGAGAGCTAGAATAAGAAATACCCAATCTTATTTATTGTAGCTTATAATTAGGGACATATAAGCTCTTAAAATGCTCGTATTTATACAAGCCTGGAAAAAAAGGCAGACTCACTGTCTTCATCAACAAGCCTGTACCTGTTTTGGTGCTGTGGTGCAATGGTAGTAGGGAAGCTTCCTCCCGATTCCCCCTGAAAGTCAGAGAAAGCTTGGTCTCCTCCCGCCTTTGGAGCTTCCTGGAAGTCCTGGAAGTCATCGTCATCGGCTTTGGTTCCCTACACAAACATCATGTTGGAGAGTGAAGTGAGTGAAGTGAGTGAGGTGATCGACAGCAGGAAAATAAGAAACTGAGCATACCTGTGATACCTGTGCTGGAGGGAAACTGGCAATGAAATTTGTGTTTGTGGGTGGCTGAGCCGATGCTGCCGGTGTCATAGGCATGACTGGTGGCGGGGCTGCTGTGGGCATGGCCATGGAGACCGGGGGCTGGGTCATCATGGGCTGCTGGTGCTGAGGCATGACAGGGGCCATGGCCATAGCCAAAGCCGGCAGGTTCGGCACGGGAGGAGAAGGAAATTGGCCGAGGATTTCCACGTTCATTGCCGGGAGGCCACTCTGAAAGTAAGGAAGGACACAACAAACAATATTTAAGCGAAGCAGGTCCCCCTGAGCTCAGCTGTTGTGCAAAAGCATATTAAAACATGATGAAATCGTTGTCCTGCAGCTGCAGATATAATCAAAGCAGTCTTCAACAAACGCTTTGTGTGCAATGTTTGTCAAAGCAGTGATGCCCAGCTTTTTTGGAATCTACCTTAACTTTCTAAAAAATGGAGTTATGTATCCGTGACTGCAAAAAAGCCTCGGGTTGAAAGCCACAGATAAGGTGAAGAAGTGAGTGAGAGTAACAGAGTCAGTTTGAGTCTTTTCATGAGGACTGTTGACAATGACAAATACAAAACAAAGCCTGTAAGATGTTTCAAAGTTTTATTTGGCTGCATTTTTTTTTTGGGGGGGGGGGGGTTAATGTGTTAAATCACAAAAGGTATCAGGGCACACGGATCATTGTGAACCCTAAAATTTTATAGCCCTTCTGTATTCACTGAACTCGGCCAAGGACTAACGTTTATATATAAATTATTCAACACAATCCTTTTGAACAGATGTCACCAGCAGACTCAAACTTTCTTCCACCTCACTAGAGAATGCACCTTGTTTTGCTTGTGTTTTAAGCTTCTTGAAGATTTACATCACCAAAGGTGTCTTATTATTCCTCGCATGGAAGCGGAGGCATGCAGTGTTTCGTGAGCTGCCTGAAGATTTGCATCTTCCCAGGGGTGGTGGTGACAGGCCCGGGCTGAGCGTGATAAGAAGCCTCCTGCCAAACTTGGTTGATGGGGACTCAGCCATATATTGGACTTATAACGCTTCACAGGCCGCGGGCTGAGTCACAGCACCGCTTCTTTTCTCTCCGTTTTGAACTAAGCCCAGCTAATTTTAGTGAGGAGTTTATGGCGAGGCTCTGCGGAAGCTGTGGGAGATGATTAGTGGAGTTGTTCTAAGTGGATAATTTGTTTTGACTTCAGTGATTACCTGCGCCACCCCAATTAGTGCAAGTACAGTGTAAAGTTCCTCCTTGGTCAGCATGCCAGGTGTTGTGCGGTTGGCTGATGCCCAGATTTGCCCGAGTGCTTCCCTGGGAAGACCTGATGACATTAATATCGGGTAGAGTTTGGCTGTGTCTATCCCTGCCGGAGTCATGGTGATTTCAAGAACCTTCTTGAACATTTCTGGGAAAAGAAAAACAAAACGTTTTTGCAATTCGTGTCATTTCTTCATATTGTCGTCTGAACATTAAACTGGATGTTTTTGAGAGTAAACGTTTACCTGGGACGAGGCTGTCGTTGTAAACCCAGGCGGGCAGCATGGTCTGAATGTGCTCTTGTTGTGGATACACACCAACACCTGCTGTCAGAAGCACAAGCACACATATACACACACACAGACACACAATTAGCTGTTGAAGCAAAAGTCTTGTCCAGGCTTACGATCTGCCAAGTCTCTTGGCAGCTGAGCCCTGCTCATATCGAACTCGACAAAATCATACACCTGATGTCTGGAAGGCTCGGTGCAGCTGTAACGCTCCCCTGCACTGAATCACAAACGCCCTGCCACATCAGACATCTATAAATCAGTCTGTGAGTCATTTCCAGCTTCAAGGAGAGAGGAGAGAGGCAATTGCCTTGTAAGAAAAACTAACTAAAAATATAATTTAACAGCTGACATTGACCTAAATTATTCTTTTCTAGAAAACAGACAACCAGACATTTCAGTAAACTGCTATGGCTCATTTCGAGTCCCTGACACTCTGTCTGCAAGGCAGGTGTTTACCCAGACACCCACTTTGCACATAATACTTCCATCAGTCTTGAGCAGTTAAATGAATCTTATTACAAATCTCCCCTGGTCCCCGTGATGAGCCACAATATTTCCCCTGATGACGCGGAGGACACGGACACAGACAAACAAATAACAGCACAAAGGAGTAGCAGAGTAGCATGCACAATCAGCCTTGGATTATGCTGGGCCCCAGTGGCACCTGCCAATCCATGCGCATCCCTGTTAAACCAAAGCAGTCAGCATGCGCCAGAGGTCGTTCTCTGAGAGGGTGTTACACAGTGAGTGAACAGACGGCGGCTTATTTAGTCAGCAGGTATCACCCAAGGACCTTGACAGACACAGTCCATTTCCACAGTCTGTGCAGGGAGCAGTGACATAAGAGAGCCCCGCTAACAAGACAGAGGTATAAAGCAGGCAGAAATAGGAGCAGAGATTTAGGAGACGATGGAAAGACACAAGGAAGGGCACCTCAAAGACATCGTCACCTCAACAGCGAAGAAAATATAAACTTGATTTCATTTAACAGCACGCAGGCTACAACAGTAGGATGCCCAGTCCAGGATCTAGCATAAATCAATTATAACCCAAAGAGATAGAGGAGATTAAACTGCCAGAGGAGGCATACAATTATTTTGTCAGGGTTAGAAAGAATGAAAATATTTCTCAAGGACAGAAAGAGAACTACCACCCTGATTGTGTGTTAATGCTGCAAAGCAAGAGAGAAGCAGCAGCTATGAAGTCCAGTGAACAGGTACTTCTCTCACCACTGTCACTACTGGTTTGAGGAGATGCGCCAGCAGCTGATGGGGGGAGTTTGGGCGCTGGTACCGGGGCCTCTGGTGGCTTTTCTGTGACGAAGACAGAGCTCAAGTCCTCGGTGGCCGCGGCCCAATTCCTCGCTTTAGTACTGGGCTGAAACTGGGCTGAAACTTTAGCTCTAGGAGTCATTTCAGCCAAACTCTGCTTGGACTTAAAGCTAACCGGCGCAGTCTTATCAGCTGTGAGATCACAGGAGGAGAACAGCTTCTCTTCCAGGGATGGGCCTAGAGGGGTGGATGAGGAACAAGCTTCTTTAACACATACTAGCAACAATGCACACTTAACACATCTATTTATAGGCTCAATTTGCAAATGAAATTAGGGATGCTTTAGTAGATTTATGTTATAACTTAAAGATTTGTGTTTGAGATCTGATATGCAAGATAAGACTGAAGCAGTCAGTAGCAATTATAAAAGGTTGCTAATCATGGTTCAGGCGTCTTGTAGCATTATTGTGCTTCTTTCCTGTAGCTGTTTTCAAACATAAACAGCTGACAATTTTGGAATACTTTCCACAGTTTTCCTTTTCCGCATGTAGCATACGGCAGGAAATAGTCCACCTCAAAAGCATTCGCACTACTGAACCACTACTGTGCTTTAGGTATGGGAGCCGTTGGGTAGATCATGCAGGTGGCAGGACACATAACTACTTAACAGGCATTAACTGAACTTAACTATTTGCAACCCAGTGCAATCCAACATCAACTAACTAATATCTGGTCCAACTTTGT